AATGGTTATCAATAGATGCCTGTCTCGTACAGTGCAATTATTTATACGTATTTATTCGTTGATCGAATGAATGGCAGCTGGAACCACTGCCTTGTATGACTGGAATTGGGGATCAGTATAGTTCACGTGCTTAACACGTGATCAGCGGCGTTTGAATAGCGGTCATATTTTGAGTGGCGCAGTCACGAACAGATGCATAGAAATATACGTAACACTATTCTAAAGACTTTTCTGGCACATGTTAGTTTTAATATTTAACACATTTGTTACTATGAGTACGATGTAATAGACCACGTGACGAGGCAGTTATTACGTAATAGTAATAATATATGTTTTGTAGTATTACTAGTCTGAGCTTGTAATGAGATGCTCCAGGCCACTGATGACGTCAGACATAATGGTATTGCAGATTAGGAAAACCTAAAATGATTGTATGTGACAATGACAATCACGAACAATTAAACTTGAAAAATATTTTTGGAGCATGAAATCAAATTTTATAAGTAGAAAACGTTATAAATAAAGGCAAGTTGTTTGCGCATTTTCAGCAGAACAAGAACGCATGCGCAGTACTAGTTGAGTTACTTTCAAAGTTCATGCTTCCTTTTAAACTCCTGTTGATTTTGGATTTTTACTTTCAGGGGGGCAAGGCTATAAACCGTTTGTCGTGTTTTAAACTCGAAAAAGGATTATAGGATCGTATCAGTGTCAGAAAAAGGATAAAAGAGGTAACTTTTTATTTGACAAGTATCATGGTGTCGGATCCCTGACCTGTGCAGAGTAAAGGAGACAATTATCACTAATTCATTGAGTGGTTCTAAATAAAACCCATTTTAAATCCTAGCGGCATTGCAGGTCACTTGAAACCACAACATGACGCTATAAGTTGTAGATAGAAGCAATAAATTGCAAACCTGAATATAAAAAGTGAGGATTTCGATTTTTGTTCAAAGAATAGTAATTAATTCATCAATCAAAAGAAATCAACACGTCCACAAATTCACAGCTATTAACGACTAAGTTGTTAATTGGACGTGATAAGCTACCAGCATAAACCATTCATCGTTGTCCATTTCGTAGTGAACTTTGGTTGACCTAGGTATGGAAATGCTCAAAAGAAAGCGTTATTATTTCACCATGGTTACGTGGTAGGTATCCATCTACCCAAAAGTTAAACAAAAAGAAGAATAATACTAAATTGTTATTGTTGCTAGTGTGAAAGCACAATATTGTGTGCTACAGTGTTTGCTCGGTCAAATAGTACATTGATCAGTCATACAACTGCACGTAGCCTGGGCCATACTTTGTATGGGCATCATAAACACTATATATAACAGTATGAGTGGACATAACATGAATGTAGCATTCGAAAACACCTGGTAAATATATTATTTGACTGCAAATGGTTTTGGCATACATGTTGTATTTTCTAAGTCAACAGCATCATTTCGGTTTACCACAGACGCTGAAGTATACTGACTTATATTATTAGAATTATTTGCCAACGACATATGGAACAACAAAAGAATAGCATGTTTTATTTGACGAAATATATAATCTAAAGTCAATTACACAAACAAATAAAACAGATAACAGATAACACATTTTTGGACCTAATGAAATTGAATTCAGTTTCCATGGTTACTCTACGATGTGAAATCATGTTAAATAAACGTGTGCCCGGGGCGTTATTAATGGCGGTGTTTAGATTTCTAGTCGGTCTATTGTTATATTATTTCGCCTTTATTTTTCAACGTATTTATCGGTGACCTTAGTGCTCGTTTAAAGTCACCTAAAATAGGCTGTTGCGTGGGTAGGTTTTTTTATCAACTCTCAGATGTATGCCGATAACTTGGTTATTCTTAGCCCGTCCATCCCTGCTTCGTGAACCCTCGTTAATGCTTGCTATGAATATGGGTCGGTCTTTGATATTATTTACCACTCTAAAAAGTCTGAATGTATGTACTTTATTCTTCGAAAGAGTGCTTTTCAGGTGCAGCCAACGAGCAATAAATTGAAATAGTCAATTCTCTGAGACAAAATATATTTTATGGGCCTTTTGAAATATGCTAATTAATATAAAGGAAAGAGGGGAAATTAAAAGCTGTTCATAAGCTACCCTCCACCTGAAAAAAATTGTCTTCCCCTCCTGCTGAGCAAATTCATCTTTCCCCTGCCCTCATTAAAAAAAAGACTTTTTTGCCTACTCCCTTACATTGCTGTGCCGATTGGTGGCGTAATTCATCGAGTCATTGGCTTCTATGGGCTTCTTGAACCCAATAACCAATCAGCAGATGTAAGTACCCTACCCAACTAAAAAAATTCCATGTGCTTGCATTTTTTTTAAATCTGCCCTGCCCACTGGGGGGTACTGATATTTCCCGCCCCCTACAAAAAATAGAAAAATCCCCTGCTCTCAAGAAAAATCCCTTGGAACAGCTTTTCCGGTGAACAGCTCCATTGGCTGCACCTGGCTCTTAGAAGTAGTGTAATTCCACCCGTATATCTTGGTGACTTCAAGCTTAAAATTTGCATAAGCACGTTTATTTAGGATATGTTGTCACTGATAGCCAGTATGGACGATGAGAACATAAAACGATTCGATAATTCTACGGCCGAGCCAATATATTGCTTCGAAAATGTTCTAGCTTTTAAATTAAAATTACATTGTACATTGTTTCGAACATGTATTGTTCACAGCTTTGGTTTCGACATAGTCGTAAAAGTATTTATGATCTCCGTGTTGCTTATAAAAATTTCGTTTATTCCTTGGTCGGTCCATGGACTGTAGAGCGAGCAGTATGTTTGTGTTCTCCAACATTCAAACATTTGACGCTTTTAGGCGAAACATGCTTTTTTTACTCTATACCTGACTAACTAAAAGTGATAATAGGATCGCTGTAGTGCTTTTATCTTCTGTCAGAAATAAAGTGAATTGTAAGTATTTTATATCTAGCCTATGGACCAGGTTGATAGTCACGTTTTTGTTATGTTAATTTTGTGAGCCACGTGCTAGTCCGTTATTGGTCTGAAAGTGTCTCCTTGTCGGGAGTTGCTTTATATTATGGCCACAGTTTCTTGCCATCATCTGACGCGCATTTGTGTTCGGAGTGTTATGTTCTGTACCGTAAACTTATGTACACGCCACAGCTACGCTAGAACAATGCATTTATTTATTAGTCGAGTCTTTTTATATATTTGTTGTTGTTTTTTCTCTAGGCCAGACTTTTTTTATGCCTTGTTTCTCGAGTTTTTATAAGGCAATTTTTTTGAGGAGGGCGGAAAAAAAATAAAATTAATTCTTTTTTTCATTAGATTTGTGTGATTCTCAAAGAATTGTAAGTGAAATCATTGATCGGAGAGAAGAAATGATGTACAATTTTATTCCATGTATAACCTTGTTTTTCATCTGCGCTAGACTTCGGTACTTTGATCATGATACTCCCACGAAAACTTGGGTTTGTTATGCGACGGGCGGGAAAAAATGAAGATAAAAATATTTTTTTTTATCAATTTTTTGCACTTACAAGTCGGTGGGCGAGAGAAATTACGCTGAAATAAAATTTTATTTTTATTTCATTTTCGGCTCCTGTTCATTCGGCGGGTTCGCGAAACAAGGGATAATAAAAGTCTGGCCTTAGTTTGTTGGTTTATATATATATTGTTCTTTATTAATGGGATGTGCGAACTTTTCCACTTTATAGCCTGCAATAAAGAGTTAATAAATAATAATATATGAACATCACAAATAACCGATTTGGTGAAAACGGCCATGGAAATTTAAGGCTTATTTAGTTTCGGATACTTTGCATTAGCTGTATCACAACATCTTCAGCCCCTTGCGTAATTTATTGTGTTTGGTAACATCAAAACATATCGTATTTGTGTAAATAATTTATTAGATAAATGACGTCAGATGTCCTTTCAATCTGATTATAATCCAATGTAGGTACTAGGCTCCATTATTATTTTTTCTTATATGTATTTTTTATTGTTATTTTCGTTTAATTATTTTTTTAATTTCTGTTATTTAGTGATTTTTTTTATATAAGATATATAAAAAATGGAGCCAATACCTACATATGATTTCAATCAGGTTGTCTTCCTCTAAAAATCGCAAACCGACGACAGTGGGCGCCCAACTATAGTACTCTCCCCACGCCTTTCAAATCAAGCGCGGATTGTTGCTACGCAATGCATAACCATGCTATGCACTGTTGACGTCCGTATGGACTCGCAAAAATCACAAACCACTGTATCTGTTCAAAAATAACAGTGTAAATATTTATTTTATTTTAAATGTGTGTGGGATTATTTTTATTTTATCAAAATCTGCCCAAAGTTCCTAATGTTCAATCCCCAAGAAGCTGAAGTTACAAATTACAAAGCATGGATAAAAGTAGTGTTAATACGTGTGAATTAAAGCGGGAGGATCGTCACCTGCGCACGCGCGGGAATTCAGTCCCATGCATGATAACAACACATGTTAAAACGCAAAGGCTCGTAGGTAGACGCTTGTTTACGAACAATGACACGCTATGGCCATCTGACGCATGCGCAAATGACGACTCCGCCGTTTTGAATAGCTCTCACACAAATGTCACATGAACTCAATTTAATTAATATATTATTGCGAGAATACCTCACAGAATGAACGAAGACAGTACAGCTGGTGTATCGACCGACGCGCAGCGAAGGTCGGTGCGCGGCGTACTGTCTGAGTAGATAATAACATTAGAAAAATATATTGAGTGACCATATGAAAAGTTTCTTGTTCGAGTTGATTGTATCTTACACTACTATATGAAACTACCTTGCTATGAGAGGTTATTTGCCCCAGGAGTGCAATATAAAGAGATATGGGAAGAAAATAATTATAAAATAATCATTTGTTGTTATTTGTTATATCACGTTCTCCGTACACAATACATACAATCAGACGATGTATCTGATACCACGGCAATTATTAATTAATGTCTATCGTATGAATATTTACAAAGTGTCGTAAAAATTGTTTATTTTTTACAATAATACTTGACAGAAACTAATATTTGTAAGATTAAATGTTCTCTGTCATTTTATTTGCTGCCTCGGTCTGAGTGCCTGTCTTCATTTTTTATGTGATTTGTTCCTTCATTTTTGCAACTCTTCTTTATTAGTCGGTTTTTTATCTCTATGTTTGGTGAGCATGTCCTTATTCGATTCAACGTTGTTAATAAATCATCATGCAATTGTACTAAGTAATATTTGGTCATGTTCCATATATGGCAGACTAAGTGATTTCAAGCAGCCATATTTGGTCATGTTCCATATATGGCAGACTAAGTGATTTCAAGCAGCCATATTTGGAATATTGTGGCTCACGTATTTAATTCACTTCTTCCATGTCATGTCTTGCAAATTTGGTGTTATTGCTCGTATGGACGATGTAAATTAGTAGAAACAAACAAAATAACGTCAACGACGAGAGTGCGATAGTAGAATATATAACAAGCTCTGCAGTAGTGCTCAATCCCTCGTCTTCCGAATCTTCACCATTTACTGAAAATAAAAACAAATGATTTATAAATAAACGATATCACCGTTCACTGAACACATTAACCCAAAATGTGTGACAGGCAAACTAAATAGGTGTTGCTAGGTGAAATGTTCCGAGTATTCTCAGCTGTAACATCTGATTTAAGAGATGGTTCCCATCGACAAAAGAAACTTCAAATAGCGAGTATTTGTCACGAAGCAAAGATACGCGATAAAACCTCGCGAAGCAGTGGTGTACGCGTACTAGCAGTGGTGTACGCGTACTATCAGTGGTGTACGCGTACTAGCAGTGGTGTACGCGTACTAACAGGTGAAGTCAACGAGTAAATTTGCAAAAATGTTTGGTATTTATGTTTGATCAACAGTAACCTACTTTATGAACATTATTAAGGCTTAATTTAATTTGGAGGGGAGAGGTCAATCTGTTCGCAACTCCTCTCCCTCTCAACCAAATTAAATTGCCCTCCCACTGTTTTTGCTCCCGCTGCCTTCTCCCACTCAGTTTTGCTACCCACTGCCCTCTCCCCGCTCATTTTGTTTTTGCCTGTCCTCTGGACACGCAGTTGTATCTACTCTCTCCCATCCAGTTCACATTGTCTTAATTCTCCCCTCTCAACAGTTTCTGCCTTCTCCCTATCATTTCCCAGAGAAGACGTTATAGTCATCAGCTCCAATCCTTAAACCCATGTGAATTGAATGTAACGTTTTTCTTTATAGCAGGCGAATTTAATGGTAATATAATACCTATATTTTCTATGAAATGACAAAATGCCATGACCCATTTCACCGGCAACACTCTTTATTAAGAGAGTTGTACTCAAGTTCAAATTTTGCACTTCTGAACATACAATGCATTATGGGAGACAATACAAAATCGAAGAAAGCTTAGAAAGAACTTGGGATCGGGGTATTCTCAGTATAAACATTCCTCCCCTTTGGCAATTTGGTTGTTGATGCCCGCGAAAAGTTCTGCATTTTGCCCTTACCCGCTCAATCTAAAAATGGAATTTGCCAGCCCTCTGTATAAAAATCTTCTCGTACTGGAATTCCCCTTGAGAAACCCTATTTGTAATGCCCTCCCAATGAAGATGTTTTATTTTGCCTGCCCGCTAACAATCCCTTGCGAACACATTTTTTCACGAACAGCTCCGTTGACTGCACCTGTACTAGAAGTATGACTGAGACTTGTAAGAAGCAGTGATACACGCGTACTAGAAGTATGACTGAGACGTGTAAGAAGCAGTGATACATGCGTACTTGAAGTATGACTGAGACGTGCAAGAAACAGTGATACATGCGTACAAGAAGTATGACTGAGACGTGTTAAAAGCAGTGATACACGCGTACTAGAAGTATGACTGGGACGTGTAAGAAGCAGTGATACACGCGTACTAGAAGTATGACTGAGACGTGCAAGAAACAGTGATACACGCGTACAAGAAGTATGACTGAGACGTGTAAGAAGCAGTGATACACCCGTACTAGAAGTATGACTGATATGTGTAAGAAGCAGTGATACACGCGTACTAGAAGTATGATTGAGACGTGTAAGAAGCAGTAATGCACGCGTACTAGAAGTATGACTGAGACTTGTAAGAAGCAGTGATACACGCGTACTAGAAGTATGACTGAGACGTGTAAGAAGCAGTGATACACCCGTACTAGAAGTATGACTGAGACGTGTTAGAAGCAGTGATACACGCGTAATATAAGTATGACTGAGACGTATAAGAAGCAGTCATGATACACGCGTACTTGAAGTATGACTGAGACGTGTTAGAAGCAGTGATATACGCGTCCTAGAAGTATGACTGAGACGTGTAAGAAGCAGTGATACACCCGTACTAGAAGTATGACTGAGACGTGTTAGAAGCAGTGATACACGCGTACTATAAGTATGACTGAGACGTATAAGAAGCAGTCATGATACACGCGTACTTGAAGTATGACTGAGACGTGTAAGAAGCAGTGATACACGCGTACTATAAGTATGACTGGGACGTGTAAGAAGCAGTGATAGACGCGTACTAGAAGTATGACAGAGACGTGTAAGAAGCAGTGATACACGCGTACTATAAGTGTGACTGAGACTTGTAAGAAGCAGTAATACATGTGTACTAAAGGTAGGACGGTGGTATTTGGAAGAATAGTAACATAGACTCATTCCACTGATTCCAGATAGAAAAAAAAACATAGCATTAGTAATAATAAAATTGCAACAGCTCTCTGCCTCCTCTTTCGACGTAATTGTGTTAGCAGTACGGCGTATTGCATGGAATATAGCAGAGATGAATTGGTAATCGTCGTCCCAAGTAACTATTCAAAATAGGTCAAAATAGGTGCTTCTATCGGAGATGCTCTTCTAATAGAACAAATGCGGTAACTGTTTTATTTGTAATACACAGCGATGACAGAAACGGTACTTTGGTATAAATATGGGTATAGACTTTGCCACTATCCCGGGGGGGGCTGTGTTGTCCACATCAAGGAAAATACGGAACGGAACTGAAATATACCTAAAAGAAGATTTCTGTGACGAAGACTACAGAAGGAAGAGAAAAGGTGATTCCAACTATGCAAACAATATGGCGGGAAGGCAGAAGACCAAGTTTTTAGAACAGGCGACTCTAAATTGATGGAAAACCATGTGACAGCGGCGAGTAGATAGAAGACAAAATTGACTGATTGGGGACATCGGGACAATTATGACACTGGGGAGGGTTAATTTTTAGATTTAGTAGGTCAGTTCAGGGGGGCTGTAGCGTTCGAGTGCATCGGTGATGGCAGACTTTAGTTTAGTCTTATGGCGCTGGCACGTTTGTTGTGTTGTAGGCCGTGAGGCATGGAGGAGGGTTTGGGAGGGAGCCTGTTGGGCTTTGGGTGTGGAATTTTATCTTTTACTTTTTTCTTAGTTGTTTCACTATTTATTTTGTTAGTTTTTTAAAAATCTGAGTCCAAAAGTGTGTATAAACACAACAGTTATGCAGAAGTCAGAAATTTTGACTTTGAATGTTAGGGGAATTGGCCAATTCAGGAAGGGTAAGCAAATTTTCAATTGGCTGGCTAAACAGGGCAGTAATATCATAGCACAGCACAGATGAAAGTAAATGACTAGGCCAATTTGTTGTTCAGTCATGGCTCATCAACTTGAACATCAAGGAGGTTGATGACAATTTTTAAAAACATTGACTATGATATTCAGAAGGTGACCTCTGACCCAGACGGTCATTGTCAGATCCTGGATGTCACATTATATGGTAAGCATTTTTTTTTAATAAATTTGTATGCCCCCACTTCAGAAAAACAGCACACTATTTATTTAAAAAAGTTACTTAAGGACGCCCAGGATGGTATGTCAGAGCCGAAAGTGTGTTTGTTATGGGGTGGTGACCATAATTTGGTACTTGATATCAATAAGTATAGGAAAGGAGGAAACCCTCAGCCATGAGGCAAATCAAACGATCTACTAGTTGAATTCAGGGAGGCTTTGGACTTAACTGATGTGTGGAGGGCACTCCATCCAAACAAAAGTGCTTTCACATGGAAACGTTTTCACCCACAAATAGTGCAGAGCCGTTTAAATTATTTTATTATTAATGATGCCATTATGAGTTGCATTCAGGAGTCTTCTGTTGTTCCCTGTGTCTTGCCCGACCACTCTGCAGTTAGTCTAAACATTCAATATGAAGAAACAACCAAAGTGCCTTCCTATTGGAATTTAAACACTAGTTTGTTAAGGGATATTGAGTTAATGAGTTAATTGAGAAAAAAATACCAGACTGGGCTGGGGAGAGGGTCGGTACTGACTGAGTGATGCACGGTCTTTATGGGATTGGCTGAAATATTGTATTACAAAAACAACCATAGAGTAACGTTAATAAAAAGTAAACCGAGGAAACAAAAAATCAAGATCTGGAAAAAAAGCTGGCGAATACTGAAACAGAAATTTGGGAAAATCCAACTGTAAACTGGAGTTCATCATTGTCCAGGAATTGCAGGGGAAGTATGATAAAATTACAATAATAAGATCGAGGGCACATTGGGTGGAAATGGGGGAAAATACTAAATATTTCTTACAATTGGAAAACATGAAGAATAAAAGATCACAAATAAATAAGTTAATAAAAAACGATGGCTCAGCAATCACATCACAGAAGGATATTAAATTATTTTATACTAAGCTATACTCCTCGGGGCTGGACACTTCCATAGAAAACTTTACTGCTTGTCAGGCATCATTTCTCGGAACCCCTAACATCAAAAAACTTTCAGAGGACCAAGCAGCAGTTTGTGAGGGATGTATTACTTATGAGGAAGCCCATGAAGCAATCAAGACGTTTCCTGTAAATAAAACTCCAGGAAATGATGGAATGCCGATTGTCATCTACTGTTTTGGGGGTCTTATTTGGAACTTTGTGGTTAATTCATTGAATACAACACAACAATCAAGGGGTAAATTTTTCCTTCTTTCATACATGATAATCATTCGGCCTTTTGTGAAAAATCGATTCATTGGGGATGGGTGAGATTGGTTGAAAAGAATCTAGATTATTCAGGTGAACAAAAATACCGGGCATTTTATTTACTATCGATATGTGTTAAATATGATTACTATGAAGTTTTGAAAAAAATTAACATTTTTAGTTTTTTGTGGGGAGGTCCTGATAGGATTGCCAGGAGAACAGCAATTGGTGGCATTGAAAATGAGGTTCAAATGTCCCAGATGTATTTTCAATTCATAAAGCTCAGCATATAACTGGATGCGCCACTATTTGATGAAACCTTACATCATCCGTGGAAATGGTTTTTGAAAGATATTTTAAAGTGGGAAATATTGAGCTACTTTTGAAAAGTAATTTTGACATCAAGATGTTTCCGTTAAAACTTAACAGCTTCCACCACAGTATGCTGAACACCTGGCAGTCGTTGAGGGATTACTCCTCAGATGTACATATCCTGAATCAAATAATATGGAATAACAATATCTGGTGATTGCTGATAAA